CCCACAGCCGCCGTGGCCCCATCCCCCTGGCCTGTCAGCCAGGCCCAGCCTGGCCCCCCCAGCTCCGCGGGCTCACCGAGTCGAGCAGGACACTGGCACCGGGCACCGCCTGGCGGGACGTGTAGCGGGTGAGCTCCAGGCGCAGGGTGTAGCTGACGCCGCGCTCCAGGCAGACGGGCTGGGGCAGGAGCACGTACCTGCGGGAATGGGAGCCACGGCTCAGCTGGCCTCAGCATAGCCCCGGGATGGGGGCACCCCCCACTCCAGCGCCCCCCAGGCTCATTCCTCCCCCGTGCCTGGCCCCAGCACCAGGGGCAACCCCAACCCCACCCCCTCCTCCCCCGGGCACCCCGCCCACCCGCTCACCTGGCCCTGGGCGGCAGCGCCGTGGCCAGCCGGTCGTCAGCAGGGATGGTGTTCCCACAGGGGCTGCCGGTGGGGATGGGCCCGGGGCGCAGCACCCACAGCTTCACCTCCTCCCACGGCTCCGGGAGCTGAGAGCCGGGAGAGGCCAGTCAGAGCGGGCAGCTGGTACGGGCCTCGGGCCGGAGGGAGGAGCCAGGGGGAGGCAGGGCTGGCCCAGGGCTGCAGGCAGGAACCCACGGGGGGGGGGGGGGGGGGGGGCGGGGGCGGCGGGCGGGAGCCGGGGGGGGGGGCAGTGGCCCGGGGCTCACCTGGGGCTCGTAGCGGATCACCACGTCGTACTCCATGGAGGCGGGCACGTCGCTGATCAGGAACTCCACGGCCCCGCCCTCTGGCACGTGGGCAAACCCTGCCCCCGTCCACGTGGCTGGCCGGTCCGTGGGCTGCGCCCGCTCCACCACCACGCCCTGCCGCGAAGGAGCCGTCAGGAATGGCCCCTCCTCCCGCCACTCTCCAGGGGGCCCAGCCTGGCCCCGCTCTCCCCGCTGGCTGCTGAGTGCTGAGCGGGCGCAGCCGGGGGCAGGGCAGGGCTGGGCCCCAGGCCGGCCTGGGAGCTGGGCTCAGAGACAGCCGGAGTCCCAATCCCACGGCTCCCAGGGCTCTGGATCCCTGGCCCAGATGTTGCGGGTGCTGCTGGGGGCTCGCCCCCCCAGCCCAGGTTTCCCCAGGGGGCCCTCCCCGGGCAGGCCCAGCCCCACCCCGTGCGCTGGCGGCAGAACGCCGGGGCTCGCCCGCCTCACCTGGCGCAGCCGGGCCTCCTCCGCCTCGTAGGTGCAGTGGTCCAGGCGGGAGAGGTAGAAGCCGGGCTCCACCTGGCTGCACGTCCGGCCCACCATGTGGCTGCGGCAGTGGCACTGCCCCGTCTCGGCGGCACACCTGGCAGCAGAGCGGCGTCAGAGCGGGAGCGCCGGGCCCTGCTGCCCACAGATAAGGGTGTGACCCCCACCGCCCCGCAGAGTGGCCCTGACCCGCCCGTGAGCAGCTCCCCAGCCCCACGGGTCCATGGGTGAGGCCGTGGGCCCCAGGCCCAGCACCCACTCACTGGTTGTTGTGGGCACCTCCCACGTCGCAGTCACATGAGCGGCAGCCGAGCAGGTCGTGGCTGAGAGCCCAGTGTTCGGGCTGGGGACAGAGATTGCGTTAGTGACCAGTCCGCCCGACCCCTGCCCGGCCCTGCCCCACCCGCCTGACCCCTACTCAGCTGGGCCCGACCCGCCAGGCCCCGCCCAACCCGACCCGCCTGACCCCTGCCCAGCCCCACCCAGTCGGCCTAGCCCCTGCCCCCTGGTGTGACGGAATACTGTGGGTGTGCCTCAGTTTCCCCTGTGTTACTCAAGTGTCTAGGGGGTGGGTTAAGGGTGTATAAGCCCCAGGAAGGGGGTCCAGTGGAGCAGCCCTCAGGCACCCCCAGCCAGTGACACACCCTGAGGAGCTGAGGCAGCAGCCTGGGGCTGATGCCGTGGGGCGGCGCTGCCCGTGGGGCCGGCACTCACCAGGCACTGGTCACAGCTTCGGCCGGTCACCAAGCGCTTGCAGAAGCAGTTGCCACTGACGGGGTCGCACTGGGTCCCATCCGACACCATCCCCTGGGGATGGCACTGGCAGCCTGACATGGAGAGCGGGTG